AATTTCAATTTAAATTGCCAGCTTTGCTTACCTTTTTGCCATGCTCTGGGCACACTTATCAGTGTCAATAAAAGTCCGAGGGGAGAACTCTGGCCAAAAGGAACTGACCAAAACGAGTAGCCAAAGAAACGGGCAGCAAAGACAGATGTGACGCATCCAGTGGTAGCAAGAAAAAAATGTGCAAATCACAGCGGATAGGAAAGTGCCATAGATGATGGTGTGGCAACCAATATTCAGTACACGCTCGGGCTTAAAGTGACCAAAACGAAATGTGAAGCATTTACATGGAAAGTCAATATTTACCGTTTAACAGATAGTTAGAAGTTAAAAAGTTAAAATTAAAGACTGCTATGTAAATCAAGTTGTACATTTATAGATATAAAATCCAATATAGGAGTCGGTGGAACTCAATGGTATTTCGTTACCCAACACATCATGGTGTCACTTAATTAAGGAAAGAATTTCCTGACCAACAGTTATGAATGCCAAGGATAAGCACATGATTTATGATAAGCGAAAGGGGAGAATGTTTAGCTAGACAATATTGCATTAATACCAAAAAAAATTCCACTAGGCGAATGCATACACCCTTGTATCAAATTAGTATCGGTTATGACATTGGCTGCAGCCTCTCACTTTCTCCGTTTTCAGCTCTTTCATTTTGCGTTCGAAAAACGAATACATCGCGAAGTATGATGATGCATCGGCTTAAACTGTGGATATATTCTTTTTGTGTTTGTTTATGTCTTTATTTCTTATTTTCCCCTTTTTTTCGTTTCCATTAAAGCGATATTAAAAAAATATAAGCGCTTATATTCCAAGTGTAAATATTAAAAACATGAATGGAAAATGGTTGTATCGCAAGAAAACATATACAAATTTATCAAATATTAAGAAAATATGAATGATATTGCAGATATACTCTCTCTTTAATAGTTCCCTTTGAGCTTTAAGTGCTTTTCATTAATACGAAGAGAAAACAGTAAAAACCTCATTTTCAGCACAATTTTCACATTGCAGCACAAATTAATTTCCTTTGAGATTTGACTTCTGCACAACTTTATCGAGTGTCCTGCGAATTGGCGAGTTGGTGTCCTTGGTGCAGTGCCGTTTATGTATATTGTTCTCCCAACTGTTGGCGCCGGCGAACCCCGAAAAACCAGAAAGGTCGCAAAAGTATGAAATGTCACTTTACAGTTAAAATGTCCAGAAAATTATCAACTTTAACATTTTGTTGCTTTTCTGGCTCGCCCTGCAGTGAGAGATAGGAAATATAGTTGCCCAGTTTACTTGCTTGGTTGGGTTTTTGCTGCCACAGACGGCAACTTATAATGAAGTCCTCGAGGACGAGGCACTACGAGAATCTCCCTCAGTTATTTTAATGCAATTATCTTACCAATTGCGAGTATGGGTATGTCTGTGGTTCAAGAGAAGGCAATGGAAAATTTTTGAATATGTTTCTGCTGGCAAAAAAATCCTGATAACAAGCTGGAAAAAACTTTTAATTAGCCATACAAGTTAATAACGTGTATACGCAACGTTGAACCATTGAGCATCGCACGTGAACTCAGTGGAATCAGCATACTCCAAAACATTCGCAAATGTTGTGGTCTGATATTTTTATAAGAAATTTTACATGGTGTACTTCAAGTCATAAAAGAAAACAACATTTTTAAAAGCTTAAAAATAAGTAGTATATTTAATTTATTGATTAAAATAAAATAAATATTGTTTTGTAATTTTATTTGTGGATTTGGATTAAATATTTATAAAGTCAGTAATATGTAACAAATTTCTTGCAGTTTGGCCTTAATTATAAGCCTTAAAACTTGTACATCTGTTTGTGCTGGGAAATACTGAGAGGAATGTGTGTTCACATCCTCCCTGCAATATCCATAGCATAAAGACAATCTGAGCGGATCTTCCTGTTCCTGTTGGCGCAGTTTTGCTGCCAAGTAAATATGCTACGTGTGCCAAACGAACACACAAGCAAAAGTTGTTCTTGCCTCCGGTATTCCACCGAAATAATCACATATACAAATATTATTTTTGTTTTTCCTTGTATGTTTGGGCTTGTGGAGCATGTTTATGATTTTTGTAATTTGGGTTTTGTTACATTGTTTTTCCTCTAGTGTGTAATTATAATAACTTTTTGGTCTTATCAACTTAGAAGTTACTAAACGCCATTTGGCTTTTACAAATAAAAAATTAAGCAATTTCTAACTGATAAGTATAATTAAGATTAATAATTAGGATAATAATGTTCAAATACAAAGCGATTTTTTTAGATGCTAATGCAATGCTTTTGAAAGCTTCTATGTATGTTAATTTGCAGCAAAGGAGCTTTTATATTTAGAATTGGAATGAATATGATAAATTAAATACTCTTTCAAAAAAATGTAATACAGGATATTTATAATATCTTATACATTTATTTTTATCAAAATTATTATTCAATATAAAAATATATAAAATAATAATGATATGTGATGATGATGACTCATAAAATAATTTTAAAATCTAGTCTTTGGAAATACCCTAAAACTGCCGACAGATTCTATTAGGTTAATACCAAAAAATTCACCAACAGGCAAGGGAGTCTGCTGAGATCTCACCAATCTGACAGTTCTCGGCTGATCGTTGGCGTGAATTGTTTTGGGTCGGTTCCTCGCGCCAGCGACCGTGTGTGTTCAGATTTATTTTTAAGCTGCACGCAGAAAATACTTTTCTGTACGGGTGAAGAAAATTTTCAATTTTCAGTGAGTGTTTCCCCATTTTCGTCAGCAATCCACTTAAATAATCACTATTGCAAGTGAAACAAGCTTTTTCCGAATGGTTTAAAGTGCAAGAGAGTAAGAAGTGCAGATTTAAGTTGAAGATATACGTATAACGTGTGAAATAAATCTATATTATGTATTGGCTGGCACACTTTTAGCAGCTATATATAAAAATACATAAGAAATAAGTGGATATAATAATAAATGTGTTTCTGGTTCAATAGCGCTGTAAAATTAGTAACCATTAAATATTTTAAAGTTTAAAAGCGGTGGGGAACAGACGATTTCCCAGCCAAATGAAAAATATGTACTAGGCGAAAAAAAGTTTAAAAATATCATCGCCACGTATGCTGCCTTTGGCTTTTCGGTACGCACGACTGCCCCTCAACAAATAAAAATCGCAGCGTGTCTTTATTGTTGCCACGCGAGGGAAACGCCGAGGGATCAGCATGTAAGTGAAATGTTCTACAAGCAGCCCCGCAATTAACTAGATCAAGTATATATTATATATGCATCGATTAAGGTGTTTAAAAATAGCCATTTAAAGTGTTCCATGTTGTTGTTCAGACATTAAGCATTGCATATTTCAATAAGCCATTTTATTTGATTTAAGTTAAAGGCACTACAATTAGGCTAAATTTAATTTCATTGCCTGCGGATCGCTTTTGTTGTTTCTCTTTTAAATTGGGGGCTACAACAGAGCCAACAGGAGCACTAACAACATTGCCGGATCGACAGATCCAACTACGTGTGCTTAATCTAAATTTAGACCGGCGAAATAGTCTTCTGGCCCAAAGAAAATGACCGATGAAATACCGATTCTACACTATACACACACGCCCCCAACCTCTTTACCCTCTGACGTTTTTCTGTTGTTTTAAAAAATAAATCTAATTTCTCGTTGGTGCGGCATATCTCAGTTTTATAGCTAAAGAAAACAGCAGCAAGTGTGCAGAAAAGGAATATTCCTACACAAAACAAAGTGGAAAACCAAATGTTTAAATTAATGGAAATTCCAAATTAATTTTTAGTGCAATCCAATTATTATTAAATGAGCATCCAAAAAATTATAGGTCATTGAATGGTTAACAAAACTGAAAATCTCATTAAAATGGCGCGCGAAAATAAACAAATCATAAAAAAGGTGATCAAAGATTGAGGCTGTTTTTTATACGCATGTTCGTAAAAAAAATGCCGTCCAGTACAAATTGTTAAGTTGACATCTTTTTAGATCAAACGACAACTTGTGACTATTTATTTCCTGGCCATGCTCAGAGATGCCAACAAATCACCAAGCCACTTTCAACCGGAAATATATCATTAGCCAAATTGTATAGCTCATCGAGGAACACACCCATGGGAAAACCAAAATAATATGAGTTATGATATATAGCCGATCGTCAGAAAATATTCGCGATGACTCAGGCATTTCGCTGTGTAAGTGAAGTTCAGTCGCCAAAGGGGAAGCAAAACGGCGAGGAAAATGGGAATTTACATTATTTGACATACGCTCTTCTAATTCTCTCGAGATTTCCCCGGTCTCTCGCCAAATGTCAAACATTTTCATCTGCGCTTGCGTTCAACAACATCATCTGTTTGACAACAAATGTGAGTGCGAGTGGGATAAAAGTTCTCAATATCGGAAGACTCTCTCGATCTATTCATAAAAGTTGTTGTAGCTTCTGATAAAAATATCTATGGCAAGGGTGAGAACAATCAGAAAACAAATTAAACACAAACAATCGAAGCATAAATGTTTGGCTCCCGTTTTCATTTTGTGGCACATTTACGTTCCGATTTCGTTTTGTTTATAAACACAAAAGTCCGACGTTTGGATTTAACAATATCTTGGGATTTCCCGCTTTGCAGACGATTTATTATCTTTTTATATAAGAAGAGTGTTTCTATATGTTAAATGTAAAATATTTTATTCATTGTTTAAATATAAACTAACTTGAAGTTTAATTGAAGTTGATATGTACTAAAAGGTACCGGTTAAACTATACAAATTGTGTTTATGGTGTACCTAACTACTTGTTGAATTGTTATCCCATTGTGAACCCCAATTACACCAACGCCAGACTTTCCCAATTTCACAACCTTTAACCTATCGTTAAGCAAGCTCCGAATCCTAAGCTTTTCTTGGGCTAATATTCACACTTTCACGGTGGCTTCTGCAAAAAGCTGAATTTTCCTGCACAGTGTGCTTTTGTGGCTGATTCCTTAAACTCGTTCGCGTTGCTGATGGTCGCGTGTGAAAAATACAATAAAATTCAACACTTAAAAGCCAGAAAAATACAACAAACTAAAACTATAAAACGTAAATTGTAAAGTGTAATCATAATATACAAAGAAAGGCAACTAAAAACTCACTACAAGGATAAAATAAGAAGCTGCTTTCACTTTCTTCGCAGTGAACCATTGAAATTTTTCACACATTTACATGTGTTGGTGCAAAGTGAACTGATGTGTGTGTGTGGACTATTACATATGCGTGGGTAGGTCAATCGGTCAGCTTCAAACCTCTCGATGTCTGAAAACCCTGGCTAAAACCGCTGTACTTAATGTAATTAATAAGCCAGCCAGGCACAAAAGTATCCATACAGCATTTCCCAGGCGAGCCATCAAAAGACCATGAGCAAATTAGTTTTTACTGCCAAAAGCGCGCTCTTGACCCCATTTGGCTCTATAGAGTTTTCTGGTACTTCCATGAAAGCCAAATGAAATCAACCCGCATTATATGCAACTGAATTTCTTGGAAAGGTGCTTCATAAATACTCCCTATCCCCAAAAAATAAGGCAGAAAAAACAAACGAAAAAGTAAATTTAAGGCTTTTCTGGTCAATTTAATGAAAGTTGTATTTTGTTTGCTGCAAAGGCCAAAAGCTTGGCTGCAAAAGGAGCTTGGCAGAGAGTGGGAGAAAGAGAGAAAGTCGCTTTCTCTCGGGCAAAGTTGATTGCCCATTTGACAGTTGGGTCAGAAAAAAGTCGTTGCGACAACAAAGGAAAATGTAAACATTGCGCGTGTTTTTGTTTTGATGCTCTCTCCCTCTCACACACCCCCATAACTAGGTTATATATAGGTAGTGCCAGGAATCGCCGATAAGTTATCACCAGCGATGGAAATTCGTTGTCTGTGCACTCAAATGGAATTAACCAAAATCCAATAGAGTGCTCTGATAGCAGGAGTTAACCAAAAATGTGTTCAAAGAAATAAATTAACCATTGTGGGGGTAGAAGAAATTTCTAGAAAGAATATAGTCAGTGAGTTTTGTATGCCCTAAAAAACAAAAAGTGTTTTAAAGGGATTTAAAGTGATAAACCCATATTTTTTAGATCTAAAATCCAGAAACTCTTCACTGCAGACTTACAACAAATGCCAAATTTTTATAAACCGCCGCTTTAAACTCGTCCAAACAAATAAATAAATGAATAAATATAAAAATAAAACAAAGCTATAAGTCACCACCGTCGATCTCAATAACTAAACAAGAGGAACCATTCTTTTTTAAACAAATAAAAAGCTTTTCCCGTATTCAAGTGAGTCTGAATAAAGTGTGCATGGCTGTGTGGCGAATGAGACCAAACACACCTGTTGCCGCGATGCTTTGACCGCATTTCGCTATTTGGCTCTTGGCTAGCACCATTCACCCAGGAAAGCGCTCTTTTAAGCCGCATTTTATACAAGGGGCAAATCAATTTTGTGCGACCGAATGAAACTTCAAATATGAATACAGGTATAAGGAGATTTTATTGATGTTGTAATTGGTAGCATTATATTTCTGTATATGAACAAACATTTGCACTTGGCTTCCCATATAAAAGATAATCATTTTTAATAATTATGATTTTCTTCAATAACAAACATATTAGGTTAAAAAATATGAGTTTTGGTTTTTTTTTTCGTAACCTGACTTTAATGTTTTTGAGTGATATTCTCACATTATTCATTTGGCACTTCTTATTTTATTTACTAACTTTAATAACCTATTAAAACCCCCAATCGTTCCACAATATTAATCCGCAAAGGAGATCGTAAGGAGGCAGCCTCGTTAACACCGCAACAGCAACAATCGCCGCAACAGCCAGAGCCACAGCAACCAATTACCCGACACGATGCCTTGGATAGTTCTAGTGCTAATAATAAACTAAATCATAAACACAATAACGATAAGGATAAGGCTAAGGATAAGGATAAGGATAGGGACACAACTAGCGATAAGAATTGGGAGGCGAGCAGAGATTTATTGCCGGCCAGTGTTGTCATCGTCGATGAATCACCATGCCCCGCGAAGAGTCAAAGGCAACCACCAGTGGATTCGAGTGCGGTGGTGGTGGTGGGTGCGGGAGCACGAAGTGGAGCCACCTCCTCATCGCAGCGTCGCCGGCAATTGCAATTCCAGCGACAAAAGGAGGCCAAACTTTATGACCGCGGCGACGGGGAACCATCGCCCTCGCTCTCGCCCTCGACCTCCACATCGACCTCGACCTCAGCCACCACGAACACCACCGTGATGGGCGGCGGGGAGCTGGTGAACTGTATTGCCTACGATGACAACACCCTGGTCATCGAGAGGAAGCCCTCGCCCACCTCCCCGTCCACATCCCGGCGCTATCTGAAGGCCGAAACTCCGACGCGTGGCAGCCGAAAGTACAATCGCAAGTCATCATCGGTCAAAAGTGATTTGGAAGTCGTGGTCGTCCGGCCGGAACACCATCATCAGCATCGTTCGCCAACGATAACGTTGCCGGTTCCCGCCAATCCACTGACCACATCGGCATCGGCGGGCACATCGCCGACGGGAGCGGGACTGGGATCCGGATTGGGAACCGCCACGGGAACGGTCCTGCAACAAAGGTACATACAACTCCAGCTGGAGAACGAAAAGAATTACATTTTCCATGCAATGCAAGAGTTTGATTACATGGAACAAACTAGGCGCTCTAGGGCATAGTAAGTCGGAACCAGACCCCACAATTAACTACTATATCGTAATCCTATCGTGACTCAATGTTGTCCCTTGTCGTCTTAATGTGTGTCTCGTGTGTCTGAAACCGCATGCCCAGTGATTAATGTGATTGTTCCAGCCAACAACTGAGTTGGCGGCTTAACGGATGATTAAAAACTCAGTAAATTATAATCCACAAATAGTGGATGCAGGGATAAAATCAAATTCTCATTCTTATAGACCTTTGTTGAGCTTTCTTCTAAGCGAGCCAAAACCAAAATGATTTGCTTGCCCAAATCTTAGCAGGTTATTTAAGATGGCTTTAAATCATTCACCTAATTTTAGTCATAATAAGATAAACATACCTTATACACATAAAGCTAGCTGCAGATTAGTTAGGTTGTTTATTGAGGAAAAAACACTAAACTGTTGTAGTTTATCGCGACTTTACACAAATTAACGCCAAACATCTGTCAGAAATAAACACAGGATTTCTGCACTTTTATTCCTACTCAAATTTGAAATTCGACTGTGCTAGGGGAAACGAATTCAGTAATCAACTTTTCACATGTGTATGCTATTCGGCAAACTAAAAACATTAAACGCTTTATTTAAACATAGCTACGAATATAATGCAAATGCTGACAACGGAACACTTTAGGCTTCTAGGCAAATGAAATTTATAAGTTAAGGTTAATTAATTTATTTTGGAAATGGTAATGTACGCTAAATGGCCACCACCCCAACCTGTAGCATAAATGATCGATGGCAAGTGCAACCCACATTTGTAGTAAAGATGAAGCTCTAATTTCGAATGTTCTATTCCCTCCACAGTTGCAGTGCCCTTGAACCGCAGGAGGAACCACCAAGTCAGCCCAGTGGAGCCCGGAGGCGACCCACCAGCACCGAACTCGCCCTCAGCAACGTCACCAGTCAGATTGTGAACAACGCCACCTACAAGCTAGACTTCAAGCAACGTCGCCATAAAAGCAACAACGGCGTTGGTGAATCCGCTGCGGGATCGGGATCCCTGACAGGATTGCCCACAGGATCGGTGACGAGTCCTGGAGCAGCGGCGGGACCCTCGACGAGCGGTAAGCGTCGCAAGTCGAGTTGCACATCCTGCGGCGGTGGCGGTATCAGTGCTCCGGCCCCGCGTTTAACGCCCGAGGAGGCGTGGCAGCTGCAGCCGCAGAATAGTGTCACCAGTGCCGGGAGCACAAATAGTAGCTTTAGCAGCGGCGGCGGACGCGACGAGGATAGCAGTTATAGTGCCGTCGGCGGCGACAGCAGCAGCAGCAACAGTTGCAACTGCGACATAACCGGCGATAATAGTACGTTGCATGGTTTTGGGGTCGGTGACGTTAGTAGTTTCATCGGCGATTGTGACGACGATAACGAGGACGACGACGACGATCCCAATAACCAGGATCTCAGCTCGCAAACCCTTCGCACAGCGGCGATTGTTGCCGCAGTTGCGGCGGCAGCCAAGGAACAGGAGCAATCCCTCGCCGATTGCGATAGCTTCAGTGATCGTCGGCAGGATGCCGATGACGGTGTCCGGATTATCCAGGATAGCGGCGGTGGCAACAACAACGACTCACTCGAGGACGTCGGCGAGGTGGACGACAACGCCGATGTTGTTGTGAGAAAGAATTCGAGGAATCGCCCATCCATCCGCAGGACATGCAGAATCACCGAGGAGGACGACGACGACGAGGACGAGGGTGATATCAACGATCGGGAGGATCAGGAGCTCGACGACGAGGAGCCCGAGGGCACCACCATCGACATTGATGAACAGGAACAGCAGCAGCAGCAGCAGCAGGAGCAAGACGAATCCGCTGAGGACGAAGACGACGAGGACGAGGAAGACGACGAGGACGTCGACGAGTATTTCGAGGAGGAGGAGGACGACACCCAGGCCTTTTCGCCATTCTACTCCAGTTCCGCGGAGCTAATCGATAACTTTGGTGGCGGCGCGGGCAAGTTCTTCAACATCATGGACTTCGAGCGCGGAGCCTCCGGTGGAGGAGGCTTTTCGCCAAATGGCAATGGCGGTCCAGGGAGTGGCGATCCCTCACGGGCGGCGAGATACGATTCCGGGGAAGGGGATCTCGGTGGAGGGAACAATATAATGGGTGAGTCTTCAGAACCTCAATAACTAAATGAAATGTCTATATCTCATACATACTAACATAAATCCTTTAACCCGCTTTTAGGCATCGATTCAATGGGCATTGCAAACATTCCGGAAACCATGAACGGCACCACAATTGGTCCAAGTGGAGTTGGTGGCCAAAAAGCTGGTGCTGGTGCAACTGCCGCAGGCCAAAAGAGACAACAGCGGAGGGGAAAGCCGCAACCAGATCGACCGCAACGAGCTCTATTCTGCCTGAGTGTCAAGAATCCATTGCGAGCCCTTTGCATTCGCATCGTGGAGTGGAAGTATCCTTTTCATAACTAATAACAATTAATCCCAACTGTTTAAGCAGTTTTAAACTTAAAAAAAAATCACTGATTCATTTTAATTTTACTTTTTTAAACGATAAAATCATCTTTGATTTGTGATCCCGTATTCCGAAATAACTATTTATTACAACATTTTCTGGTTGGATTTCCTTAACACCTTTACCCTTTCTAGACCATTCGAGTTCCTTATTTTGTTAACCATTTTTGCCAATTGTGTTGCCTTGGCTGTTTACACGCCTTATCCGGGCAGCGATTCGAACGTAACGAATCAAACTTTGGTAAGTCCTGCCCATATTAAGGGATATATTCATATAAACGAATTTTATTATGGCATACTAATGAATCTGAATCTTTGATCTTTCATATATCTTTTACGTTCACCTCACCCACATTCAAAACGCTCATAAATCCACTCATACAAAATCATTAAAAATGCACCAACGATACGATCCTTAAATACCGAATTCGAATTCCTGAACCAACAAACAAACACCTGCACTCCAAAACCAAACCAAAATTACAAAAACCAAAACACCGAAACACAGGAAAAAGTGGAATACGTATTCCTAGTTATATTCACAGCGGAATGTGTTATGAAAATTATAGCATATGGTTTTGTGTTACATAATGGTGCATATCTAAGAAATGGATGGAATTTATTAGATTTTACAATTGTAGTTATAGGGTAAGCATACAAAATATACCAGTTAAAAGCGCTTAGCGCCTAGGCCCCAGCGGCCTCGTTTTAACCATTTTCTATGTTACCTTATATCCAATTCAATCGAAATTGATCGAATCGGAAAATCTTAAAACGAAAAGCAAAAAGCAAAAACTCAAAATTATAGAAATGAAATGATGCCAAGACTGAGACACGTATGAACTTTGTATGCCGTACATTTTTACAGAGCGATAAGTACTGCACTCTCCCACTTGATGAAGGACGCCTTCGATGTGAAGGCCCTACGTGCCTTTCGTGTGCTACGTCCACTTCGACTCGTATCGGGTGTACCAAGTAAGAGCTTCATTGCACCATCAAAAAGAAAAATTACATTGAAAAAAGCAAATCCTCCCAAGATATTCTAGAGACTACGGAATGATTCGTAATTAAAACACTGCACAGAGTAAATTTAAACTTATTAATTGTAACTAAAGATAACATTTTCCGATAGTCCCGATTAAGCACATTTTTATTTTTATTTTTATTTTCTTCTTCCTTCCGATTAAATTAATTTTTATTTAATTATTTAAATAATATATCTGTGCTGTGTTTTCTGCTAAGCTTTGATTGAATGCACTAGATGTTGCTTGCCAGCCAACCAATCTAACGAGCACCCCAAACCCAATCGAATATTGGCAATTCATAACGCTATTCTACAGGTCTACAGGTTGTGCTGAACTCAATTTTAAAGGCCATGGTGCCACTGTTTCACATTGCACTCCTGGTCATATTCGTAATCATAATCTATGCGATCATTGGCCTAGAGCTCTTCTCTGGCAAACTGCACAAGGCGTGTCGCGATGAGGTCACAGGTAAGCGGAGATCCTCCCACCAACAAATCGTACAATATTTATACGTTGTACGAATATCATTCAGTTGTCTTGAATGCCACCAGATATGTCGCATTACAAAATCAACGTCCAAAAAGGTTTTATCAATAGTAGATTAGAGTGCTGGGAAATCGTGGTCTGGCAAGAACCTATAAGAAAAAGTTCAGAAAATGCCTCGATTTCCGGCTAATCTGCTAGTTAATAAGCCTATTGAAATGATCAATTGTTTGGGACAAGTAAAATATGCCAACGATGCGGCATATTCCGCAAAACAGTACTCAACACGAATACTCAAATGGCACTTCACGAACACAATCGTATCTCAGAGATATCACCTCATTCCATTCCATTTCACTACATCACTAATGCATGACTCCTAAACCAAAAAAAATCCAAAAACTGGAATCTAGGTGAATACGAGGAGAATATCCGACCTTGCGGAGTGGGCTACACCTGTCCGAAGGGAATGAAGTGCTATGGCGGCTGGGACGGACCCAATGACGGCATCACCAACTTCGACAACTTTGGCCTGGCCATGTTGACGGTGTTCCAGTGCGTCACCCTGGAGGGCTGGACCGATGTCCTTTACAGCGTAAGTTTCAAAAAAAATAAAAATTAAAATGAAAAAAATGCAGAAAAATGTATAAAACTAAGAGCTTAAAGTTTTTAAACGGGACCATAAAATTTCTAACTTCGAAAATTTTAGTCTGATTTCAAAGTGGCATACGTTTATAATCGAAATCTCAAACCAACTGCATTCAAAAATTTTCATTTACTGATGGTCGAATTTTTGACCCCTGTTTAGTCAGATTTTTTCAAGTTTTCGATGGTTTGCCATAAGGTGACTCAAGGGGACCATTTTATTCCGATTTCAATGTGGCATACCTCCAAACGGGTGTAATCGAAATCTTAAAGAAACAAATTTTAGATACTTAAAATTTTAAACAAAAATATTACCACGGACTGAAAGATCTCCCTTTATTAGATCCAAGATGCAATGGGAAGCGATTGGCAGTGGATGTACTTCATCTCGATGGTCATCCTAGGAGCTTTTTTCGTGATGAACCTAATTCTCGGTGTGTTGTCCGGTGAGTTCTCCAAGGAGCGTAACAAGGCCAAGAATCGCGGCGACTTCCAGAAGCTGCGAGAAAAGCAGCAGATTGAAGAGGACCTGCGGGGTTATCTTGATTGGATAACCCAAGCCGAGGATATCGAACCCGATGCCGTGGGTGGCCTGATTTCCGATGGCAAAAGCAAGCAGACCAACGAAATGGACTCCACTGAGAATATGGGTGAGGAAATGCCCGAGGTTCAGCTAACTGAATCGCGTTGGCGCAAAATGAAAAAGGACTTTGATCGAGTCAATCGGCGAATGCGACGTGCCTGTCGAAAAGCTGTTAAATCTCAGGCCTTCTACTGGCTCATTATCGTTCTGGTGTTCCTGAATACCGGCGTTCTGGCCACCGAGCACTATGGCCAACAGGATTGGCTGGACAATTTCCAGGGTAAAATGCATTTTTTTTTCGAATAAAACACAATTTTAAAGAATTTTTCCTCGGTTTCAGAATACACCAACATGTTCTTCATCGGCCTCTTCACCTGCGAAATGTTGTTAAAGATGTACAGTCTGGGCTTTCAGGGCTACTTCGTTTCGCTATTCAATCGTTTTGATTGTTTTGTGGTGATTGGCAGCATAACTGAGACCTTGTTGAAAAATACTGGAGTTATGCCTCCTTTGGGTGTCTCCGTGTTGCGATGTGTACGTCTACTGAGAGTCTTTAAAGTAACCAAGTGAGTAAAAGCAATTTCAAATATGGAAATATTATGAAACTTTTTAAAACCCTTCTAGGTACTGGCGATCTCTTTCAAATCTCGTTGCTTCCCTATTGAACTCTATACAATCGATCGCATCGCTCTTGTTACTGCTCTTCCTATTTATTGTGATATTTGCTCTTCTGGGTATGCAAGTCTTTGGCGGTAAATTTAATTTTGATGGCAAAGAGGAGAAGTATCGGATGAATTTCGATTGCTTCTGGCAAGCCCTGCTCACAGTCTTTCAGGTAAGGATTCTCGTAAATAATAATAATTTAATTTGCAATAATGTTTTTATTATTTGTAGATAATGACTGGTGAGGATTGGAATGCTGTGATGTATGTGGGCATTAATGCCTATGGCGGTGTGTCCTCCTATGGTGCCTTGGCCTGTATTTACTTTATCATTTTGTTTATATGCGGCAACTATATTCTGCTGAATGTGTTCTTGGCCATTGCTGTGGATAATTTGGCCGATGCCGACTCGCTGTCCGAGGTGGAAAAGGAGGATGAGCCAGTAAGCTGAAAATACATTTACTTAGGGGTTTAATATACTAATAATTTAACATTTTTAAGCCTGAAGAATTAGCGCAAAAGAAGTCTCACAGTCCCACTCCAACAATTGATGGCATGGATGACCAAATCAGCATAGATATTGATATGGAGCCTCACGAACTGGACGACGAAGACAAAATGTAATACAATGGAGCAAGATATTCATTTAAAGCCAGATGATAAGGGTTATGTTCATACACTAATTTTTTCCTTTTTTTTAGGGACCATGAAACTCTAACTGATGAGGAGGTCCGTGAAATGTGCGAGGAAGAGGAAGAAGGTATGTCATGTCAACTTGAATTAACCCACTTTTCAACTAAGCTCTGTGTAAGATTTATATATGATCTATGTTAAGAACTTTAATTTAAGTATTTTAGCTTATGCTTAGACCTTCTCTAAACTAACACATATCAAAATCAAACCAAAAATATTTCCTAAAACAATGCTGCCGACGCCTTCATCAACTGCTGCTATTTTTTGGAAACCACGCACCCAAACAAAACAAAATCGAACAAAAAAACACAAAAACACTTGCAAATATTAATCGAAAGACTCCAATTCCGAAGTATCAGCACGTGTCACTGCACGACCCCGACGATTATCTGAAGTCAGCATGAAGAAGACTAAAAAGTCCATCCCGCGAGGCAGTGCCTTTTTCATTTTCAGTTACACAAACAGGTAATTCAATCAACCGATCCATCGACATCCTACCAAAGAACACTCGCACACTCTTTAATACGTGTCTTGTGATTGGAGTTACTTTATTTTAAACACTGATTCCGACGTTTGTCGTTCGCATGTGGCAAACAATCGATTATAATTCCTTATCGAGCTGTATCTAATGCGTATTGCGAATGTAAATATATAACTTGTACAATTTTAAGTTCTTTCAAGAAACCCAATACGACACCGATATTTTTTATTATTTGATTTCTATTAGTTTTTGCATTTTGCTGTTGAGGTTGGCCAATTTTAAGTATCCACATATTTATTCAGTACTCTCTCTGTTTAATGGAGGTGTAATAAATATAAGAACAAAAACACGATATATTTTTTATAAGAACCTAAGTTTGTTTTTAAGGTATTTGTAGAATTAGTGTATAAATCGTTTCCAGACAAATTCTTATAAATGTGTTTATTATTTTTTCCAAATTGGCAACTTACATATATGTACGTAATATATGATAAAATTTGTATTGCATATAGTGGATGAAGAAGGCATGATTACAGCACGACCCCGACGTATGTCTGAGGTTAATACGGCAACGAAAATTCTACCCATTCCGCCGGGCACATCATTTTTTCTTTTCTCACAAACGAACAGGTTTTTATGTTTGAGTTTTATTTTCCCAAAGTATTAAAGGTCTCCAAAAATAGTATATATTTTGCATATGTGTGTGTGCAATGCGTGTGTGTGCAAATTATGTTTTTCTCAAAACATATTATCAATAATCATGTATTTGTCTTTTTTGTTTAACATTGTTTTGTATATTGTCCTACGTGAAAATCATACCAAGTTTATTTTTTAATTTGATAAGATTAGATCAACTTATTTTGAGTAGACGAAAATTGTTTAGACTCGTAATTCCTAGCCGCTTTTTATACCATTATTTTGTTCTTAACTTGTCTTGTGAACTCTCTAATTGCATGATATATGGTTGGTGATTTTACTTTTTGTTATTGGCGATATCATTAAACCAGGTTGATAACGTTTTATTAAACTATATTTGAACAGATTCCGTGTCTTCTGCCACTGGCTTTGTAATCACAGCAACTTCGGCAACATTATCTTGTGTTGCATTATGTTTTCGTCGGCTATGTTGGCAGCAGAGAATCCTCTGAGGGCCAACGATGACCTGAATAAAGTAAGTAGCTCCTGTTCCGAACCAGAAAATAACGTGATTAGAAATAAAATTGTAAGTTTTGCGATTGAAGCTTGCAAAGAGCTGATATCATTTTATTACTCACACAACGAACACTTTTCATTCGATGTCCTTCACTATTCATTTGTTTTGCAGGTGCTCAATAAATTTGATTATTTTTTCACGGCAGTTTTCACAATAGAACTGATTCTGAAATTGATTTCATACGGTTTCGTATTACACGACGGAGCCTTTTGCAGATCCGCATTTAATCTATTAGATTTACTTGTGGTCTGTGTGTCATTGATATCTCTAGTATCCAGGTAAATGATAATCCATCTAACTACTCTAACCCAGTAGTTGTGATACTAATTACTTCTGGAACACAAACTATAACGTCGATTTCAACTGCAGTTCGAATGCGATTTCAGTCGTGAAAATTCTACGTGTGCTCCGTGTTTTAAGGCCACTCAGAGCCATTAATCGTGCCAAGGGTCTCAAGGTAAGAACTCATCAAAACCCTTCCTTATTCGCTCTTAATTATTCTGACACATAAATAAATGCTTCAATAAAAAAGGAAAAGAATTTTTCTTTGGTTTCAGTTTTTATTTTAATTTTTATTTAATTAAGATAAACACACAAAAAGTTACAATTTTTTGTTTCTCACTAACGAGCAATTAATTTTGTTTTTTAAATAATAACTTTATAGAAGTGGTCTTGGGCCTTTAATTAATTTTAAAGTATGCCAAACAAAAAACCTTGAAATGCTGGGTGTAGGGTGCACCACAATAAAGTTATGCTAAAAAACTGAGCAACAAAAAGTATATTCATAAACAAAACACAGCTACAAAAAAATTGTTTTAAGTTCGAGCTTTACTCGTAACACCCTAACGAAAATGGGCGTGGAATAGAAATGTATGGGCGTGGCTTTGGCATAGTGAAGTCTATGTAATAACCCCTTATACTAAACACATGACCAACAAACTGTTCGCGCAAATAAAAAGGATGTCAGAAAGCAGCCTTATTTATGATTAGTTTTATACATTAAAAGAAAGTTTTACTATAACTATATATCGTCGTATCACATACAGCATGTTGTTCAATGTGTCATAGTCGCTGTAAAGACTATCGGAAATATTGTGCTCGTCACATGCCTCCTGCAGTTCATGTTTGCCGTAATAGGAGTCCAATTGTTTAAGGTATGATTTTACTTTTAAGTTCCCACTTAGTTTGCCTCTGTTTTCATTAAGAATGCAGGTCAAAGATTGCAGGGATAATCTCATAACAAAAGAATAGAAAAACCTCATTAACACTTTTAAAGATTTTTTTAATGTTACAAAAACTATAGATAGCAAAGATGTTTATAGTTAGCATTTAACGATTTGTATAAAAAAGCCATGTACAAACTTTTGAACCAAATATCATTGCATGTAACCTTCTACAAAAAATTTAAGCAAAAAATATATTTTACCAGGACTTATATTTAGGTTTAGTCTGAGCAGATGAAAACAAAATTTTTATATTTTTCATATTTTTGGGTGTACACATGAAACTTCCAAAAACCTTCCTAACTTATTGTTGTTGTTAAAAAAGTTTTTGTTTGAACTTGCATCTACTAATATTGTTCTAAAGCTTTTTTAATTTGTTATGTTTTTTATAAACGTTGACTAATTTTTCTATAGCATAATTGGCAAATCAACCAAGTTCAACTGGTTCCGAACAACTAGCGAATGTAAATAATGCCAAGTTTTGCTGGCTAGTATTGCTTATTAATGCTGAGCATAATATTTTTAAGGACAAGTCGGTATCAAAGATATATCAGCCAGTAGCCATCCACAAAAATTAAATTTTATTAAAAATAATTCATAAATATGGGCTCCTCCTTTATGAAACAGTAGATTTTGAAAATATTAAAATGTACTTCTAAGGAATCCTAACCACCGATTCGAGCGATTACACCGATCCTAACACAACTCACACGACTTAAAACACATAATGCATACATATATTGTAATATCAACTCTTTTATATTCCACACCCATTTTCTGCATTTGTACACGTCTAAATGCAACAAGTTCACAATAAACATCGATATGAGATCATAAGCACACTTACAAAAACGGTTTATACCTTATGGATTCAAAAGCACACACATAAGCACATGAATTTTGGGTTTATCCTTTAGCGAAAAATCAGCAACCTACCTTGCACCCTAGCATCAAGGCCAATCCCGTCCTTCAATTAAAAATCAACCAGGTGTAAAAAGCCCCGAAAATTATGGACCATGAGTAACAACTCTTAATAGTGTGTTGACCCTTTGAACCATATGAATTCAGAGTAAACTCACAACTTTATCTTGATTTTAAAATAAACGTCAATTAAGACTTACAAAATTTAAAAAGTTGTATGTATTTTACTATGGATTCATAAGAAACTTAATTCAAAACGTATTAGGTTTTAATTTTTTTATTTATTAAATTTTTCTTTACAATCTAAACATTTTGATTTTGATTTTATTTATGTTTACACCTTCTGTTTTAGTCTTTGTTCCTGTAACTGTAAAAATTTAAACTAAAATCCCTTTTTAGAGTGTTAAATATCAAATACAGAAACTTCATACAAAAGGATCTCCCAATATTTAAACATATTTTCTTCCTTTTTCTCCCCTTGAACGTGATTCGGTTATTTTGTATTGAATTTTGCAAACCCAACAAAAAATGTCGTAAAAATACTGATACAATGCCAAACCATTTGATTCCATTATATAAAAATGTGGCCACAAAATGCAAAAAATAACTGTCTACTTGATGCCGACAAACCACACACAAACTTGAATTGAAAATTAAAATTTATTTTAATTGTTATTCATTTGTTACGAATTCGATCCACCAACCAATTGGCCTACACTGATAAAAACCATAAACTTCTACAGTATGTGGTCAAGTGCGTTGTGGTCGCAATCAAAACCATTGGTAATATCATGTTGGTGACATATTTGTTACAATTCATGTTCGCTGTTATTGGAGTACAACTCTTTAAGGTAATTTCTTTTGAATTATATATGAAAAGTCATTGGTGTAGGGTATCTTCAGACGGCTTTAAGTGTACGCTTCTATTTTTGAAAGGAACAACTTTTATAAATAAATAAAAAAATGCGGCTTAATCTATGTGTGCTTTGAATTTTGTAGTTTCTTTTCATCTTGGTATATGTGTTTAGGGTAAAGTTTATTGGAAGGTAACTATTCTCGATGTTATATCTTTGAATTTGACTTAAAACAAGTCTTTTCCTAAAGCAAAGTCTAAGTCACATTTTGATGCCATCTTTTTTCTAACAGAAATATTTCGCTTTGCAAGAGCTTGGTAAACCAAACCTTTGTCAAGTTTTACCATCCTGCTTGAGTTGAGTTTTTAGCTTTTCCAAGACTAACCTCCAAGGCAAAGTTAGCTCGCTTCCCTGCTAACCCAATGTAATATATTTCGATATCTTCCCATGTACGTAACTCTGTTTCCAACCCAGTAACACTTGTTCGTGTCCCGTCTGTAAATATTGCTCTGTTCAAAAAAAAACTAAAACAGTTGTCGTCCATTCCATTTTGAGCAGTGTATGTAAATGTGTTTGCATATGAAACACCCTGTATATGTGTGCATACATCTAAGCAAAAATGTAGAGCTAGATAGTCAATCGTATTCTGCTCCCAGCTATTTTTGACTAGGAACCTGTTAGTTAATAGTCCGTACAGTAAAGCAGTTTTTAATGTTTGTGACTCCTGGGAAAGCAATCTCGCCCGAAGATTACTTCATGTAGAGATTGCTATCCATAACATGTACTCTTTATTGTTTTATTTGCTAATCAAATTCCTATCTTTTCACCCCTGGTGAACTCCCTTTACATTTCCCCCTATGAAATCTGTAGGGTAAATTTTTCAAGTGCACCGATGGTTCCAAAATGAGGCAAGAAGATTGCTAGTAAGTGGTAGTAAAGTAAGAAAGGGATTTTGTTTTGATACTAGCTTTTATTTTAGCGGCACTTATCTGGTTTATGATGATGGCGATGTCCATAAGCCGCGGCTCAAGGAACGGGAATGGAGCAACAATCGGTTCCATTTCGATGATGTGGCCAAGGGCATGTTGACCCTGTTCACGGTATCCACCTTTGAGGGTTGGCCAGCGTAAGTTTATTTTCAGGCTCTCTACCTATCAACTTCTAATTATTGTTAAAATTCCAGACTGCTGTACGTTTCGATTGATTCGAATAAGGAGGACGGTGGTCCAATACACAACTTCCGTCCGATAGTAGCTGCCTACTATATTATCTACATTATTATTATCGCCTTCTTTATGGTGAACATATTCGTCGGTTTCGTTATTGTGACTTTCCAAAACGAAGGTGAACAGGAATACAAAAATTGTGATCTGGATAAGAACCAGCGTAATTGCATAGAATTTGCTTTGAAAGCAAAGCCAGTTAGGCGATATATACCCAAACATGGTATACAATATAAGGTCTGGTGGTTCGTCACATCCTCATCCTTTGAGTACACCATATTCATACTGATCATGATAAACACGGTAACGCTGGCTATGAAGTTCTATAATCAACCGCAGTGGTATACGGAACTTTTAGATGCCTTGAATATGATATTTACGGCTGTCTTTGCTCTTGAGTTTGTTTTCAAACTAGCCGCGTTTCGATTTAAGGTGGGTAGAGTATTAAAGCTTCTCATTTAAACCAATAATAATTATTTTTTACTTTTCAGAACTATTTTGGTGATGCCTGGAACGTTTTCGATTTCATAATTGTCTTGGGCAGTTTTATAGACATTGTCTACTCTGAAATTAAGGTGCTTAGATTCCATGACCGAATTGCTATTGATTCTAATGTTTTATTATTCGCAGAGTAAAACCCCTTCGCAGGCAGCAGTATGTAACATTGTCGAGGGCTGTAAATCTCAAAAGAAATCTGTGAGCTTAGTTGTAGCTGTTCTATTTTTTATGGTTGAGTAACGCTTTTCTTTTAGGCTGGTTCAAATCTGATATCCATTAACTTCTTCCGACTCTTTCGTGTGATGCGACTTGTGAAGCTTTTAAGCAAAGGAGAAGGCATTCGAACATTACTTTGGACCTTTATCAAATCTTTTCAGGCTTTGCCATATGTAGCCCTGCTTATTGTGCTACTGTTCTTTATTTACGCAGTGGTGGGAATGCAAGTAAGTTTTTCAGTTCACACGCATTCTAAAGAAGAAATTATGATGCAAGCATTTAATTTTTAGGTTTTCGGAAAAATTGCCCTGGATGGTGGTAACGCCATTACGGAAAATAACAACTTTCAGACCTTCCAGCAGGCAGTTCTCGTGCTTTTCCGATCGGCCACCGGAGAAGCTTGGCAGGAGATTATGATGTCCTGCTCGGCACAACCGGATGTAAAGTGCGATATGAAATCAGATACGCCGGGAGAAGCATGCGGCTCCTCAATTGCTTATCCCTACTTTATATCCTTCTATGTTCTCTGCTCGTTTTTGGTAAGCAAACTAAACTTGTAACTTAATAAATAAATAAATAAATCAATTTTCCTTTCAGATCATTAATCTTTTTGTGGCTGTTATTATGGACAACTTTGATTACTTGACCCGCGATTGGTCCATCCTGGGTCCTCATCATCTCGACGAGTTTATTCGCCTGTGGAGCGAATATGATCCCGACGCCAAGGGACGCATCAAACACCTGGATGTGGTGACGTTGCTGAGAAAGATATCGCCGCCACTTGGTTTTGGCAAACTGTGTCCACATCGAATGGCCTGCAAAAGGCTAGTCTCCATGAACATGCCACTCAATTCGGATGGAACTGTTCTGTTTAATGCCACCTTGTTTGCCGTGGTCCGCACTTCGCTGAGCATAAAAACCGAGGGTAACATCGATGATGCCAACTCCGAGCTGAGAACCACTATCAAGCAGATCTGGAAGCGCACCAATCCCAAGCTCCTGGATCAGGTGGTTCCACCGCCGGGCAACGATGACGAGGTGACCGTTGGCAAGTTCTACGCCACATATCTCATTCAGGACTACTTCCGGCGGTTCAAGAAGCGCAAGGAGCAGGAGGGCAAGGAAGGCCATCCGGACAGCAATACGGTCACCCTGCAGGCCGGTCTGCGAACTCTGCACGAGGTGTCTCCGGCTCTCAAGAGGGCCATCTCCGGCAATCTCGATGAGCTGGACCAGGAACCGGAGCCCATGCATCGAGTAAGTTGATAATAATATCATCTACCTACAAGTTTTGGTTAAGTTGAAAGTGGTTTATCTTAAAATTGATTTTTTTAAATAATTTTTTTGGAAAGAATACTAAATTCGAACAGCAACTTTCAATAAAAATGTAGGAAATAAAAATTATAAATATTGGATAGTAGCTACATCAACAAAATTGCAAAAATTTTTTAATCTTTTAAAAATGTATTTAAACATTAAATCTTCACGGTTTCTTAGATAAAGTGTGTACCATTTTTGTTTAACTTTTGTATTTTACAGTGTAAGCAAAACTTACATACTTAATGTACAAGGGAATTCGGCTATTGCTGCTTTAATATATTTTATATATTTTTTTTATTTTTGTACTAATCGACGAATTTTTCTTGAATTTTTCAGCGCCACCATACGCTCTTCGGCAGCGTGTGGTCGTCGATCCGGCGGCATGGCAACGGAACCTTCCGGCGCAGCGCGAAGGCGACGGCCTCGCAGAGTAACGGTGCTCTGACCATCGGCGGATCCGCCTCGGCGGCGATGGGCGTGGGCGGCAGCACGCTGGTGCTGGGCAGCGTCGATCCCGCTGGCGGGGATTACCTATACGACACCCTGAATCGCAGCGTGGCCGACGGGGTGAACAATATAACGAGGAACATAATGCAGGCCCGATTGGCGGCGGCCGGGAAGCTGCAGGACGAACTGCAGGGGACGGGAAGCGGCGGGGAGTTGAGGACATTCGGCGAGAGCATCTCCATGCGACCGCTGGCCAAAAATGGGGGCGGAGCGGCCACTGTGGCGGGAACGCTGCCGCCCGAGGCCAATGCCATTCCCTATGAGTGAGTATGCGGGGCGGGAAGTGGAAAAGGTAGCGGAGCGGTCAGTAGGTCAAGTTTGGAGTTTTCACCTAGCAAAAAAAAAAAAAAAGAATTTAAAAAAATATTAAATATGAACACACGAAGCTCCATTACCATAATACTTGTTACTATGGCTTGCTGTTTAGTGAGTTGATCCATATTTCTTATTGCCAACAATTATCGTTTTCTGTTTTGTGGCATTTTGTTTGGTCACCTAGTAAAGAGCGCCCTAAAGTTTGTAATGGACAAAGGAGCCGAGCCAAGCTCAACTGAACTTGGCACCACCAAAACAAATACGAGTTTTTAATTAGTTGACTTAGCCAACTTAGTTGCAATCACAAAATACCTTTAAATGCATACTTGTGGATTTAAAACCAAAATGATACAAAAAAGACCATACTTATTGAGAAAAAAATACGCAACATAAACCAAAACTTTTACTGAATCCCCGAACATTAATTTCAGCAACCGCAATCGTGGTATTTTATTGCATCCATATAACAATGGTAAGCCTAAAATGCTGCAAATTGCAATAATAAAATTAAAACAAATAAAAACATAACAAACTACTACAGCAGTAATTGCAACAGCAACAACAAAATGCACTACAATTTATTAACATTATTTACTGTGTTTATGTTTGATCCTTTTTTAACCGGATAAAATTCTAAAAATAATTCTGAGCAAATTGGTTCGTTTGTTGTTTTCATACACACAAAATTTGACCCTAACAAAAACGCAACAAAATTTTATTATTACACTGATCTAATTGTTTACCCATGATTTGTTTTGTTTTATCTCCGGTATGTAGCTGCTGCATTCATATTAAACATACTGCAAAATTAAATTATGTACAGATTCTCGCCCACTGCGTTCTAAGATTTGTTATTGCCTGCGGCATGTAAAAATTTTGAATACGACTATTCAAATCGTATGCAAAATCATTAACTAATCAGATGAGGCAACCAAATGTTTTTCGTTCTTATTGTTATTTCCTGGCTGTTTATTTATCGGGACAAAATTATATTAACTGAATCGATTCAAAAATATTTAAAACATGTTTCACAACATTTGTAGTACACATGCATTAGAAATTATTTCTGAAACATATAAATTAGACTTGTAACTGTAGAGAAAACTCGTAGTTTAGTAAAGTTTGAGTGCAGCTTTAATCTACAGCTTAAATTAGAACCGCTTTCGCTGCATTAGAGTTAAAATCAAGCCGAACACACAAGACACATTCCAATACATAAAGCATTTACATTTGAGAGTATTTTAATTTCAGAACTGCAATTCACAGGTAAAGTCGTCTATAATATTTTAAATATGATAAAAAAAAAGTTCAGAAAATTTTAATATTAAAAAAGGTTGTGTTGGTTCATTTCTATAATGATTAGGGGATATATATTTATTAAACATTAAAATTATAAATATTTTTATTTATATTTATTTTTATTTTTCATAGAACGGTAACTTTTGCTTTTATACTTAATATGTTGCAGAAAGTCAATGAATTCGATACTTAAATTGGCTGTTCTATCAAATAACTATCGATACTTTCCTCTTCTCGCAAACTTCTTACCAATAGCCCAACATAAATAACCCCTTCCAAAAATAGACCTTTCCATTATAACATTTTTGTACCAGAAACCAAGGCGTCTGTGGCTCCTTTTGTAAATTACAAACTAACCAACGGATCTAACCCACCAAAAATCATCTGTTTTCAAAGAAGAAAAAATTCGCAATAAAAAGATAGCTTTAAAAATTCAGTCAACTGTGCCTCTTAAAGTAATTTGTTTTTATAACTCTTTTTACGAAAATCTTTATTATAGCATAAGTGATTCGAGTTTGAAAACCACCGAGTGCTGAGTTTTGAACCCTGACCAAATTCTTGAGTGTCCAAAGAGTCTCCAAAGAGTTCGAACAAGACTGGTTTCCCTCTTCATATGGGGATCGTTCCCACAAGTTTATTTTCGTTTCATTATTTTCTATTAAGTTTTAAATGCGAAAAAAGAACCAATTGAAACATTCCGTTATTGGTAAAGATTATGCTATTTCGTGTAACCGAATTGAGAGTTCCCTGATAATAATGTGGATTTAATGACATAACACCTACAACAAGAACAACAAACTACAACAAGTACCAGAAACAACTTTAACAACAACAATCGTTTAACACGCAACAACAGCAACAAGAGAGAACGTAATTAAAAGCAAACCCAAAGCAAACCCGATATCGATGTCTATATATTCAATATATATAAAATTTCTTATATATATATAAACAAGCCATGATGTTGTGCCCATCCACTCATAAGCCTTGGCCTTGGCTTTATTGAGCCGTATTCCTTACTGAAATGTGTGCCTTGCGACCATTTAAACCACATCCAATACCTATAATACTAACCAAAACCAATACTCAATTTTTAAACCCAAGCTGAGAATCTGAACGTTGTCTTTGTTGTTATCGTTAAGAATATGAATATATGTTTTCCCATGCTATGCCAAAAACCAGCCAGAAAAAGTATTGAAAAATTCACTATTGTCTTTCAGTGTTGTAAAAATGTCGTCGCTTCCTCTATTTTTTTGTGGGGGAATTATTGTCACGTGGATTGGGGACTTCTTACATTCACATCACAAACACTAAAACACTGTGAAAAAACACACCCTTAAAATAAATACTTTAGATGCTTAGAAGCGCCGCTTGCACTGTGCCTTTATCGCCTAACAATAATATAAATATACATATATATATATATATATATAAATGTTGCCTAGCATTGCTGGAGATAATTGAGCTTTGCTGTATTTATAACCATAACTGCTTGCTTAATTTAGAGAACCTTTTCATTTCATTTGTGCTTATGATATAAATATTTATTTAACGAGGTTGTAACAATGTTAAACAGTCGTGTTTAAAAAAGCTTGTAATATCGAATGCTTGACTAACAATTAATAGTAATCATATATTATAAATTCATAAGCTTGATGATCCTTGAGTAGGGAAGTGTAACATTTTGTGAGCAAATATATAAAACTGTTTAATTTTTATAAATCAGTTGTACCATTTTTAAAGAAGTTTCAAGCTGTAATGGGTATAACAATTTTTTTAAAGAGCAGCCTTTGTATACTTAAGGGGACGTTCTCTTTGTTTTGGATCAAAAAATCGATTTTTTTTTTTTCAAAAATTGAAAGCCACATATCCGTAGAATTTGTGTGTGAAAGGATTTTTCGATACGATGAATAGTTTGTCAATGAGAGCGTCTCGAATACACCTGCGTCACGCGCGCTGTGGTATGCTCTAAAAACTTTAAACGCGTTTTTCTCGAAACCATGTTTTTCAACAAAATTACGCGTCCACAGCTTCATCCTGTGAACCGATTTGCTTCATGTAAAATTTTTATGAAAGTAGATGCTTTTCTTTAGGGCACTAACCTACTCCGGAAAAAAACAATAATTTATTTATAATTTTTCAACGTGGTTTAACTGAAAAAAATGTACGAAAATCGAACTTTAAAATTCGAACGTTCATTACGCGGTCAATTTATGGCCGCAATTTGATGCCACTAGGTTAGTGCCTCGCACAAGTATATTAACTTTACATAATGGTAACAATTTTCTTTTTCTGTTGACTACAAGAGGCTGCAGGCTCGTAATTTTGGGACGATGTTTGCCGCGCGGAGGCAGACGAAAGCCGCCATTTTGCAGCCGCCATTTTGAATTTCACCATCAAATAAATTTTAAAAAAATCTTGAATAATAAACGAATTCAAAAAGCAAAACCCGAAGTTCGTACGCCTTTTCATTATCCCACAAAAATTGACGAACTTTGCCTTCATTTCGACCAAAACAAAGAGAACGTCCCCTTAAACTTTGATCTTATTTTAAACGGAAGTATACGCGTTTATTTTCTTGTAAATACAATTTCAGTATTTTTTTATGAATGTACGATTCTGTAAATATATAATATAAAATTGTTGTGTAAAGTAAATACTTAATGAGTACAGCATAGTATAGATCCTGGATCATCAAGCGTGTATAAAAATTATACTTACATATAAATTTACAAGATATTATTAAATTGTTAATACTATCTATCAAACTGTCTTATTTTATGCGCACATGCAGTCTACGCACCCAATGGTGCTATTCCTGGCCACGAACGCATGATCCAATCGACACCAGCTAGTCCCTACGATCAGCGTCGTTTACCAACTTCATCTGATATGAACGGCCTGGCCGAATCATTGATTGGAGGGGTAAGTAGTCATTTATAGTAAAATAGTAAATAGAAAAGGAAATGTTCGTTAAAAGGAACGGGTATATTAAATATCATATAAATTATTTTTTTTGTTAAACTAATAATAAAATAAAATACCAGGTACTCGCCGCTGAGGGATTGGGTAAATACTGTGACTCAGAGTTCGTGGGGACTGCGGCTCGGGAGATGCGGGAGGCGCTGGACATGACGCCCGAGGAAATGAACCTGGCCGCCCATCAGATTCTCTCCAACGAGCACTCGCTGAGCCTGATCGGTAGTAGCAACGGCAGTATCTTTGGCGGATCGGCCAGCGGCCTTGGTGGGGCAGGGGGTGGTGGTGGAGGGTTGGGCGGAAGCAGTAGCATTCGCAACGCGTTCGGCGGAAGCGGAAGTGGTCCCTCCTCGCTGTCGCCACAACATCAGCCGTATTCGGGCACTCTGAACTCACCACCGATTCCGGATAATCGTTTAAGACGTGTTGCCACAATCACGACCACAAACAATAACAATAAGTCCCAACTTAGCCAAAACAATTCGAGTAGCTTAAATAGTAGAGCTAATGCCAATAGCCAAATGAACATGTCACCAAATGCACAACAAATGCAGCAACAGTCGCCCCAAAGAAGCCAGGGCAATCAGAACTTCTCCTCATAGCATCCACATTGTAAGCTACACATACAAAATGTCTTCTTGGTGGAATTTTAAGTGTACATTTAGTTGACAAATGGGCAATTTATGTATAATTTTTTTAGCGGAGAAAAAACACTTTAGTCTTAGCATCGGGAATTGTTATATTTGAGTTGTTCACAAGCAAGAACCAAACCACAAAAAAAAAAAATCCGAAAAAACAGAGAAACTTGTATAACTTGTATAAATGTATAAAAATAATAATGTTTTTGCCTTTTTGAGAAATCTATCGTTGGCCTTCGTCCACTAACGAGCCACAAAACCAAATACCAATAAAACTAAACTGAACAAATTAAGGAAAAATGTATATTTTTGGAAAAAAAAAGATAAACAACCCCAAACTGATAATGTTTAACGTGTAAATTAGAAATAAATCAAAACCGTGAGGAAATAAAAGAAAAACACACCAATGTAATTGATTAGGTAATAATCACCAAATAATTATACCTTAACATTGAACATTACATTATTGAGCGGCATTGTAATTACCTATTTCGATTTAGACGCATTTTATTTTGTAAGTATTTAATAAACGAACAATTAATGATAAATGGAATTGTTTACGATATATGTAGCAGACATATATGTATAAAATTCATAAATGTAATAGCATAATTTCAAACTGAGCGAGAGACCGGAGCCCATTTAAAAACTAATGTAAACTGAATTTTAATTCTTATGATTGAATTTTTACAATAAAAACCTAAAAAAACAACATTGAGAAAATTAAAAGTAAAACTCAAATTATTATGCATTTTACTTAGAAGAAATTTTTTTCAGCTTCGGCTTCCGACGCTTAAATTTCTTTTGAGAGTCAAACAAATTTATGGATATCTGTGCGTTCCGAATGACTTAATCTGTTTGTTATTCATAAAATATTAATTTTATTTCAAGAATTGTTTTATTCTGGTTATGTTATCCAATTGACAAACTACTGAAGCGAGTTCTTTGCAAATTAAATTAAAGGAGCATAACCGAACTGCAATAAAATTGTTTGACCAAAGTGGTTGACATACATACAAAAGAACAAGCGCGAGGGGAAAACACAAGTTTAATTAAAAACGTGCAAATTGATTTCGCTTGATATTTTTTAATCGATTTGCAACGACTGAGCGAAGGTATTGCTTTCTGTGGAAACATATACTGGAATATATTTCTCTGCACTAGAATAGAGAAAAAGCGATTTAAATATATTTGTGTATATGCGTGCCAGTGGAAATTGACCTTCTAAATATATTTATTTTCCAGAGTCCCAAGAGCGCGCACGTGTTAATCTGCCACACAAAGGATTTAGAGTGGCTCCCCCGCAAGGAACAATAAAAAATAAACAAATAAACAGAGCAGCAGCAGCAAGTAGCTAGCATTTTGCCATCGATTTTCTGTCTGGTGCATTTTCTTAACAACACTTGCCCAAGCCCCCAGTTTTCCCGCTCCTTTCTTTTCTATTTTTTTCACTCGGTTGGCTTGTGCACGTTGCAATTTGGCGCTGCTCTTCGGTTTGCCAATGCCATTGTTTGACTTGGGCTAATACGAGTATGACTGAGCCTCAGCTGCTATCGAAGGAGGAAAAAACAGCAGAAAAGAATGAGAAGAAAGCCCGGTGTGGGTGGAATCCAACTGAGATTTTCAAAGACAGGACAGCACTGGACAGGACAGGGCACGCCAAGCTGTGGCCCACGTTCCATGGTCGAGGATAACGCAAGAAAATGTTCTTAAATTAAATATTTGCCTGGTCCAAATCGGGAGCACAGAGCCCCGCAAGCTGGGAGCCAGCTCCTCCGGCTTTGGCGAGTTAAGAGAATATGCAACTAATCATCATGACATCCACAATGCCCCTCCATAAATATTTCACATGCTCTCTGGCGATTTCCGTGCAAATATCTGGCAAATGCATTGTCACTGTATGTGCGGAAATCTTTTATCACGTAAGTGGTCGCATCTTAAGGACAAGAACTTACTTTAAGCCAACTTAAGAACGATGACATAGAGAAGTTTTAAGAGAATGCTGATCTAGATTCATTTTACTTAAAATTTAGGTTGTGGTTCAATTTAAGGTACTAATTTTTAATTTGAAGGTAAATTGGTTACGACCTAAATTGATTGGTTTCCTTTTTACACAGAAATAAAAACTAAATAAAAAGTATTTAAAGAAGATTTTACAATCCGTAACTCGTTCTTCCGCTTTTTTTAAGTCAACTTTATTAGTTTAGATTATTCATTGCAAATAAACGCATAGGAAACGCCAACCAAATTACCCGCATAATGTGGACCAGTCTCGAAAAACTTTTCTCAAAGACAAGTTATAAAGCGTAAAAAGAACTCGAGCCATTCGAATTGCTTTCGTTGGAGAAAAGTTCCAATCCAAATGGAGCTATAAAACGCTGCTGAGCCAATTGCAGTTGCAGCCGCCAAGAAGTCTGCAAAACATCAGCATAATCCGAGCATCAAATGACTGACAAGGAACAAACTTAAAGCTATGGATGCCTTGCCAGGAAATCATACAAGATGTAAAGCCGCTTCGCTCACCCTTAATTGTTCCAAAAAAGGGCGGCAAAGTGGGAGTTGTAGTAGTAGATACCACTACGCATAGTTAGACGGCCCATTACACAAACTGCACACGGCATTTAGTTTTTGCCTGAAGCCTAATTGGGCTCATTATGGTAACAAGGAATAGCGCTGCTCATTTGCGATTAACCGCACGTAGAACATAACTACAAACAAAGCGTAGGTTAAGCCCAAACAAAAACAGAAAAAAAAAAACCCTCAAAGGGGCTAAATTGTGCTCCAAAATCAACGGTGAGTTATGTATGATATGTGGAGCAAGAATTTCGGTGGGTGTGAGTCGCAAAAATTGCCCCTGGCCTTATCTTTTGTGCTTTTATCAGTGTGCAGACAGACCCAAAAGCACCGAACACAAACGAATCCCGAATCCTGTGTTTCATTAGAAAACGGCTAATTTGGTTCTCTGGGCTGCGGTGCAAATACTTATTCACCCGCCGGATGTTCAGTGAAAAAATCAAGCACAATTTCGTAGGGATGAACAAACAAAAAAAAATACCCAGCCAGCCACCACACAGAAATATAAATTACATTTGCCAGAGGGCCGCAAAAAGTGTTGATAAATGTATGAAAATTAGTTAGACGCCGCCAAAGGAATGTCAATTAGAAGAATTTCCTGGTGAAGGATGCAGAAGTAAGAAGTAAGTATCCACGTGTGCCAGTCATTATAATGTTCGGCATACATTTTAGGACATAATATATAGAATTTTTTGTACTTCACAAATAATTTTTGTTCAGTACATGAATACATTTTCCTTTTCACAAAATTCTAAATAGGTATTTTGCATTTCATACCTAACGTTCTCATAACTTTCACATATTAAAGAATGCAAATTACGAAAAAAAAAACTAACGATTTAACATATTAAAACAATAAAGCGTCCGGAGATGATATATGCAACAATTTGTGGCATGAGCACACGCTGACATTGTTTATAAGATTAAAACAAAAGGGCAACAAAGCCACAAAAAATGTGTCTGTCTGGATGGCTGAAACTTATCACGCAGCAGGGCAAAGGAGGAAAATGGCCATAGAAATATGTCACAGCGGGCGAAAGTGAAAGACAGCGCCAAAATCCGAGGTGTAATATCCTGCTTGACAGCAACAAAAAAAAAAACAAGAACCAAAAAAAAAAGGAAATATACAAGAAAGTAAAGAACAACGCAGGGAAGTTCGCGTTCCATCAGAATAGGAAGGGAAAAAATGCTTTCAAAATGACTATACAACGACGGGTGGTACAAACCGCCCAGGAGACTTCACAAGAGGCGGCTTAAGCTTAT